ACGATTCTGCTGCCAGAGGGGGCGCAATTTCGGCCGCATCTTCCGCCTCAACAACGAGACCGCCCCCGGGACGCTGATAGGAGTGAGGGGTTGTAGGAACGCCTGCTTGGTTGTCTCCTGGACGGGAAGGCACCGGCGCGCTGTGGCCGACGACCGCCTGTTCGGTCTGTAGCTCTCCCAGGGGACTACTGCAGCTGAAGGCCGCACGTTCCAGTGTGAACTCCTGACCCTCTATGCTGCGAGGAGGCTCGAGATATCCTCCATCATCCGCTCGGGGAGGCGTCGTGGACCTCCCTTCGGGGGAGGCCGGTCTCCGAGCGCAGGCGCGCCCTCTGCGGCATCCCCACCTGTCGCCACGATACTGTTGCCAAGGGGGGGGCGGAATTTCGGCCGCATCTTCCGCCTCAACAACGAGACCGCCCCCGGGACGCTGATAGGAGTGAGGGGCTGTAGGAACTCCTGCTTGGTCATTTCCTGGAGGGGAAGGCACCGGCGCGCTGTGGCTGACGACCACCTGTTCGGTCCGTAGCACTCCCAGGGGACTACTGCAGCTGAAGGCCGCACGTTCCAGTGTGAACTCCTGACTCTCTATGCTGCGAGGAGGCTCGAGATACCCTCCATCCACCGCTCGGGAAGGCGTCGTGAACCTGATCTCGGGAGGAGGCCGGTCTCCGACCGCAGGCGCGCCCTCCGCGGAGCCACCACCACCTGTCACCGTGACACTGCTACTAGGAATGGGCGCGCTGTCGGGGGCATATTCGGCCTCCACCAAGACTCTGTGCCTGGGGCGCTGATAGGAATGAGGAGCTGTAGGAACGCCTGTCTGCCTGTCTCTGACAGAAGAACCGACCCGCTGCGGCTGACCACCGCGTGCTCTGTCTGTAACTCTCCCTGGCGACTGATGCAGCTGACGGCCGCTGGTTGGCGACTGTCTTCAGGCGAAACGCCGCCTCCAGATTTGCAGCAATCGTCAACGTCAGACTTACGATTGTCTTCAAGCGGGTCGGTTCTGCGTCCAGGGAGCGCGCTCGCGACGGCGTCCGCCGCGCGCCCAGCAGCCCGGGCCAGGGCCGCGACGGCCGTCCAGAGGGAGGCCTGCGCAGCCTTTGCGGCGGCAGCGGCGCAGGCACACGCGGCGGCGGAGGCGGCTGCGTCGGGCGTAGCACTGGCGCCGACTGCGCGGACGCTTGGGGCGTCAGCAGCGTCGGCGGCGAAGGCGGCGCGGGGCGCGGGCGGCCGGACACGGACGGCGCCAACTCGCCCGAGGGCGTCGGCTGCGTCCGCGGCCCTGGTTGGCGCGCGCGCGTGGGCCGCCGCAGCCGCGTCGGCCCCCCGGAAGGCGCTGGCGGCGGAGGCCGCGGCGGGGCAGCCATCGCCAGCGGCGCCAGCGGCGTTGGCGGCGCAAACGGCGGCGGACGCGCCCAAGGGAGAGGACGCCTCCGACGCGTTGGCAGCGCCAACCGCGTTGGCCGCGCTGGCGAGCCCAGGGGGCGGCCGCCGGCCGCGGCAGCAGCGCCCAGGCGGCGCCGATTCGCAGCACGCCCTTGTCGGCGCCGCCGCGCCGCCGCAGTCTCCATCGCCCGGGGCTGAGCGCCAAACACGTATGGGGGGAGCGCGCCGTCTTGACTGCCAGGATTACCAGGGTTGCGACTGAAGGTCGCCCTTTCACTTTGCACTGCCAGGCATCTGCTTGGGACCCCGCTACTTCCTCGGCTGAAGGCCGACTTGTTACTCGTACTGTCGCCAGGAAACACGGGATTAATCGGCGAATCCGAAGTGGGATTGATCGGCATGCTGGGGACTGGATCTGCCTGAGATGCTGGCTGCGCTGCACGGCAACGACCCAGGGGCAGCTGAAGGCTGCACTTCCAGTGAAAGAATCATCCAGATAGTCGTCAGTCGCCCTGGTCACCACGGCTGGAGCCGCCTCGAAATTCTGAGTTCCTGGTCCCCTGAGGCTGGTGCTGCTGCAGCTGCTTCGGCTGCTGTTGCTGCCGCTGCTGCCCTGCTGGTGCGTCTGCCCGCTGGGAGCCTGTTGGTGCTGCAGCGGCGCGGCCGCGGCGGCGCCGGCCGCGGCGGGCCCAAGCGCGGCAGCGCGGGCCACGGCGGCCGCGGCGCCGGCCGCGTGGCCGCAGCGCGCCGCCTCCGCCGCGGCCGCGGCGGCGGCGGCGGCGGCGGCCGCCGCGGCGCTGGCGGCCGCAGGGGCGCGGCGGCGGCACCGGCCGCCGAGCCCGCGGAGCAGGCCCCAGCGGCGCCCGCGGCGCCGCGGCGCCCGCGGAGCCAGCGGCCTCGCCGGCGGCGGCGGCGCCAGCGCCGCGCCCGGCGCCAGCGCCGCGCCCGCGCCAGCGGCGCCTGCGGCGCCAGCGGCGTCGGCGGCGCCCGCGGCGCCACAGGCGGCGGCGGCGCCCGCGGAGCCGACGGCGCCGCCGCGCAGGGGCCGCCAGCGGCGCCGGCGGCGCCCGCGGCCGCAGAGGGGGCCGCGGCGGGCCGGGCGCCGCGGCCGTGGCGGCCGCCGCGGCGGCCGCGGCGCCGCGGCGGCCGCGGGGGCGGCAGCGCCGCGAGGCAAGCGCAGCAGAGGGCGGCCCGCGCAGCCAGCTGCCAGCAGGGGGCGGCAGCCCGCGGCGGCCGCGGCGGGCCGCGGCCGCGCTGTCGCAGGGGCAACGGCGGCGGCCCGCGGCGGCGGCCCCGGCCGAGCAGCCGGCCGCCGCGGCGGGGGCGGCGCAGGCGGCAGCCAAGTGCAGCGGCAGGCCAGGCGGCGGCGCCGCGGCGGCCACGGCAGCCGCGCCAGCGGTGCCAGCTCGGCGTGCGGCCGCCGCCCGCCGCTGCTGCCGCCAGCAAGCCGTGCGCGCCGACGGCGACATCAAAGCGCTTGCGACACAGAGACCCACGGCCGCGCGAGGGCTCACCGTGGGGATCGTGCGAGAAGAAAGAAAGCCTGCTGCAGGCGCGCACGCCTCGGGCCAGCCCCTCGGCAGCAGACAAGCACGAAACCGCAGGGCGACGGTTTCGTACTTGAGCCAGAGGGGGCTACGGACTGGTGGGGATACGCGAAGCGTTCGAGTTCCATTAAAAGGACGCGCTAAAGGCTCATTTCCAAAGCAGCGAGTATTGCAAAGGGTCCCACATATTGTAAAGAAAGGCGATTCTCAAACCAAAAATGAACATGTTTTTGTTAACCCTCTGGGCCATAACGCGCGTTCTGCCCCCTGCCCTCCCCCTCCCTCCCCCCCAACCATGACGAAACGCTCCCCCCCATCAGTGCGTCCCCGGCACTGTCGCAGTGCGTATGGCACCACAGGCTTAGGGGTGGCGCTTCCCGTCCCCTCATATTCCCCCCCATAACGTTCGTGATCAGGGGAACGACAAATAGCATAAACATAAAAACTCGGAGTTATCGGATCGGCGCTGGACCCTCCTCCCTGGCGCGCGGAGCGCGCCAGGGGGCTCCAGCGCGGATCTGAGAAACCCCAGCAGACCTCCGAGTTTTTATGTTTATGCCATTTTTCGTTCCCCTAGTTATGGCCGCGAAAAAGAATACACTCGATGCGAACAGTGTGCCGTCAGCGTGCCGTGCCGAATCCGTGCCCGCAGAGCCTGCGTTGTGCCGTGCGGCGGAGCCCTGGCATTGCGAGACAAAGTACCGCCCGTGCTGCGCCGCTCCGTGCTCTGCCGTGCCGTACCGTACCCGCGTGAAAGGGCCCCCGAGCCGCCCGGGCCGGCTACTTCTTCCTGCTGTTACTCCTCCTCCCCCTCCTTGTCCTCTTCCTCCTCCTCCTCCTCCTCTTCCTCCTCCTCCTCATCCTCCTCCCCTCCTCCTCCTCCTCCTCCTCCTCCTCCTCCTCCTCTCCTCCTCCTCCTCCTCCTCTCTCTCCTCCTCCTCCTCCTCCTCCCCTCCTCCTCCTCCTCCTCCTCCCCTCCTCCTCCTCCTCTCCTCCTCCTTTCCTCCTCCTCCTCCTCCTCCTCCTCCTTCTCCCCCTCTTTCCTCCCCTCCTCCTCCTCCTTCCTCCTCCTCCTCCTCCTTCTCCCCCGCCTCCCCCGCCTCCCCCGCCCCTTCTTCCTCCTCTCCTCCTCCTCCTCCTCCTCCTCCTCCTCCTCCCCTCCTCCTCCTCCTCCTCCTCCTCCTCCTCCTCCTCCTCCTCCTCTCCAACCACTCCTCCCGCCCCATGCTCTTGCGCTGGCGGACAAGCAGCCAATACGGTCGGACCTAGGACAGAAGAACATCTTTCAAGAACAGAAGACCCTCCGTCGGTCCAAACTGAAGAACATTCGAGGGTGCCCTTCCCCAGCATGCACAAGAACATCCAACAGACATGAAGAATATGAGGGTCTCCTCCCCGAACCGGCCTCGATCGCCAGGGTGTTGAGACCGTCCTAGAGAACAGTCAACCAATATGACAAGGACGCACGATCAGGACGCAGGGGCCTTGAAGGCCATGCCGACACTTTGCGGGCGGGGCGCGGCCAGCGAAAGCGGCCGAGGGTGGCCCGAAGGGGAAGGATGCAAGGGTAAGCCTGGGAAATTGCTCATCCTCACTATGTGGGTTGACTGTACTCGGGGGTGCCTGTTGAGGCCAGCCGGGACTGCCTGGGAGGGGGGCTGTCTGTGAGCAGCCCGAAGCCTGCCCACTCCTCCTCCCCCTTCTCCTCCCCCTTCTCCTCCTCCTCCTCCTCCTCCTCCTCCTCCTCCTCTCCCTCCTCCTCCTCCTCCTCCTCCTCCCTCCTCCTCCTCCTCCCCCCCCTCCTCCCCCTCCTCCTCCTCCTCCTCCCCCTCCTCCTCCTCCTCCTCCCCTCCTCCTGCTCCGCCTCCTCCTCCCTCCTCCTCCTCCTCCTCCTCCTCCTCCTCCTCCTCCTCCTCCTCCCCCTCCTCCTCCTCCTCCTCCTCCTCCTCCCTCCTCCTCCTCCTCCTCCTCTTCCTCCTCCTCCTCCTCCTCCTCCTCCTCCTCTTCCTCCTCCTCCTCCTCCTCCTCCTCCTTCTCCCTCCCCCCCCGCGGCCCTGCCGCCTCCAGCAGGGCCTTCTCGGACTCGACCCCCTCCAGGTCCGCCACTCTCGCGGACAGCTGCGCGCGCTCCTCGTGCGCGGGAGGAGCGGGAGGAGCAGGAGGGGGAGGAGGGGGAGGAGGAGGAGGAGGAGGAGGAAGAGGAGGAGGAGGGAGGAAGGAGGAATGAAGGAATGAAGGCCCCAAAGGGGATGTTGCGGTTACAGCCTCAATAACTAGAGGCGCAACTCCGCCTGCGCATCAGCGGCGCGAATCAACGCGGGGGCGCTCGTGTACCACGGGGTCGCGGGCACGAGCTGAGACCGACCTCCGACGCCCTGCAGCAATCTAACACCCAGTCGCGCCAGGGGAACCACCGCAATCTGAACGCGCTTGGGGGGACACCCGCTGCAGGAAGCGGGTGCGTTCTGCCACGTGTTTCGCGCCTCCCAGGGCTGGGCTCCCTTCGAAGTCCAGAGGGCTTCTCGTCGCCAGGGCTGGGCTCCCTTCGAAGTTCTGGTCGGAACGCACCCGAAGGGACCCATTTCTGAGAGGAGGAGGAGGAGGAGGAGGAGGAGGAGGAGGAGGAGGAGGAGGAGGAGGAGAAGGGAAACTGGCCAGCAGGGGAAGGGCGGACAAGGAAGGACAAGCCGATTCGAGGGGAGAGAAACAACAGCGACTGAACTCAAGAAGTAGATATCCACTGCCCTTCGCGGGAGCTGCCCCGAGCCACTGGCAGACGATCGACCATGTACGAACAATTGCCAGAGGAGGAAGAGGAGGAGCAAAATGACCAGAGCAAGCCCAAGACGGGTCAGCGATGCTGCAATGCACCCTCCCGTCCCAAGTCCCTTCCTCACTAGTCACTAGTCTCTGCTAAGCATTGAACTAATGTTAGGTCGGGCATGTCCTCTTACAGGCGGATTATGGAGGACAAATGAAACATAATCAAACCAAATTCAAAGCTATGCAAACAGTCGAAAAGTAATCCCTGTATTACTTTTTGACTATTTTTGGATTGTTCCTGAAGAGGGACATGCCCGACTTGAAACTAATGCTCGCCACCTTCATCGTTCGCGCCACCCGGAAGGCGCCAAGACTGGGCCATCCCACTCGGGAAGTGCCCAGGCCGCAGCCCCGCTTTGAAAAGAAACCGCCCTCCATCTCTCCTGCTCTCCATCCGTAGGGATGGAGAGCAGAGAGAGCAGGGTGGCCTCCATCCTTAAGGATGTGTACCATCCTTAAGGAGAGGAGGAGGAGGAGGAGAGGAGAGGAGGAATTCCTCCTCCCCGTCATGATCATTCTCCTCCTTCGGCAGCACTGAAGAACAATGCTGCTGGAAAGCCTCCGATGGCCGCCAGACACGTCCGGTCGCGGCCAGTCGCACTCGAGCCATGGTCCACCTGCCTGCCTCCGGCAACATCCTGCTGCGGCTCCCCGCGTGCTCGCATGCGCGGGGCGAAGGGACGGGCCCTGCCGGACCTAGGACAGAAGAACACTCTTCAAGAACATGGGCCCCTCCCCAGGGTGCACAAGAACATGCGGCAAGCACGAAGATCACTCAGGGCACCCTCCCCGAGCCGACCTCGATCTTTTACCTCGGTCCGACCGTGCCTCAGGTGCCTCAAGTGCGCAAGACGTCAATGTTACTTCCGGGGTGGAAGATTCCCCGGTGGCTGGACGAGGCTGGGCTTTGAATGGTCTCCGGGGGTCTCTGGAGGTTTCTTCAATCACAAGGAGGCGCAAGGCGGAAGGGGAGAGAAGCGTCGGAGGTTCTCAACGGCGGTCCTGCCGCGGTTTTCAAAAACATGCCAAACTCTGATGCGTGTTGGAGCGGATCCAACCCTGGCCCCAAATTCAAAAGGCGGGGCGGTCGACGCGAGAAAGCACGAACCGTTTCAACAAAAAACGGCCTCATTTGCAAACCACGGCCTGCTCGATAAAAGGAACATTGAACTTCAAACACACACGGGGCGCTCTTGCGCCATCTTCTAGTCCTTGTACCGGGAGGAGGAGGAGGAAAAGGAGGAGCGAACGTACCCTGAGAGGGGACGTCTGGTCGCGCCTAGCCACGAGGCGGCGCCGCCGAGCGCCCCGCACCTCCGCTCAGATCGGAGGGCAGACGGAGAGCGTGGCGGGCGGCCTGCGTGGCGTCGTAAAACTTCTTCGGCTCGTACTTGACGTTGTCCTTCATAATGTGGTACACCTTCGCGGCGACTGCCAGGCGCATTGCGGAGCTCCTGATGCCGTTCTCGCCGTCGTAGCCGATGTGCACGGGTGGGAGTCCGGGCCGGTCATGACGACGGCGTTGAGGCTGCCGCGAGGGAAAGCCAGATAATGAAGTAGTCGAGGGCACTGGAGGTAGTGGCTGATCGCATCGGGCTTGCTGCAACCGAGGATGCACTGGTGGGTCTGGGGGATGACGTGCACGCGGTCGGTGGTCGTCCAGGCGCCAGCCAGTGCCTTGAGGACTGCCCAGACACGAGCGGGCGGCTGGGTCGCCAAGTACTTGCGAAGACGAATCCAGCGTTCTCGAAGGTCATCTGGGATGGCGGAGAGCTGGACCAGGTCGGGCGAGTTCTCGGCCTCCTCGGCGTCGGGGTCGTGGTCCCAGTCGTCGTCTGGACCGCCAGGATCTTCTTCGGCAGGAAAGAGGGCACGCTGGCTGTGCGCCCAGCGACGACGCGCACGGTGCTCGGCAGAGGTGAAGCGGCGAAGAGCAGCCTGACGGCGAAGACGGGCGGGGTCACTGCCCATGTCGCCTAGGGTGGCTAGCTCCAGCCTGCTGCGCGCCATGTGCGTGGCGTGCCAGGCGCCGGTGCAGATCTCCTTGGCGATGATGCGGCGCACGTGGCGTGTGCGGTAGAGGGGCTGGAACATGCCAAAGCCAAGGACATAGTACAAGTACTCCTCGCACCAGTTGACCCAGTCGTCCTTGTTGGAGATGCCGCGATTGTTCATGAGGATGTGGGGCAGCCACGATCCAGCCCAGTGGGCGGCGCGGTTCACGAGGCGTTCCTTTGCGAGAAGCGCGCGCTGTACTTATGGTTCCTCTTGGCGGACAGGAACAGGTGGGCGAATGAACCAGGCGGAGAGGCACTTCTTGATGGTCACGTGGAATGTGTCTGGGTGGAGTCGCTCTTGAAGTGCCAGTAGGTATGCCTTCTGCGGAGAGCGCCTTGAAACAGCGTCATTCTGGCCATGGACGAGCAGCGCATCGGAGCCACAGCGCGCTGCGTGACGATGAGCAGCCCTGAGGGCGCAGATGGCGCGCGGGATGGTGCCGAGGGTGCGGACCAGGCGCTTGTAGTGCGAGCCCGCAGTTTTGACGAAGAACGCGGCGTTGGAGATGTCCGCGAAGCGCCGCACAATGGATGTCGGGATGGCCCAACAGTCAGCACACCAGCGCCCGCTCTCTGCGGTGACGATGCTAAGTCGATCGTAGGCTGCGTCGCGAAGGACATTGTACCAGACGTTCCAACCTTTGACGGTCTTGACTGCAGTTATCCAGAGTGTGGCTGAAAAGGAGCAGCTCGATATCATTCGGAATCTCGATGCGGGTCCAGGAGGACATGCCGAATCTGTCGTACTTGGAGAAGCTGTTAGGGGCGACGCGGAGAAGCTTATGGATGCCGAAGTGCTCCTTCGCGAGAAGGTGGTCACGGGGGTCGTACAGCTGCCCAACGTAGGAGAGGCATGTGACGGCGGCGATGTTGTGCAGCTTGATGCTCAGCTGGAGCGGCGCGTGTGATTCGGAGAGCTTGAGGACGCGGCCCCACCACTTGGCTGCGGGAGCACGCCATTGGTCAGCCAGGGTAGCTCCAGGACCGACGTAAAATCCGAGGTCACGCGCTCTCTCTGCGATCGAGAAATTGCGCCACGGGCCGTGCGTGCTGCTGAAGACGGTCAGCATGTTGGTGATCAGTTCCGGAATCGGAAGCGTCCAGGTCGGCACGATGATGCACTTCTTGGCGTGTAGTTGGGGTCCTGCGAGTTGATCTGCGGCAAGTAGATGAGGAAGTAGATGTTGTATGTCTTTAAGCATATGGAGAACTATGCCCGGGTCGTCGGCGCATGCGCTGACCATCCCGCGCTTGATGGCGTTCAGCTCGTAGGCAATAGCTCGAATCACAGGGTCGAAGATGAGCGCCCAAATGGCGCCACTGAGTGGGCAGCCTTGTGCAACGCCCGATTCTGCGCATCGCAGCGGGCGCATGACACCGCCAAGCACCAGGAAGGAAAGCGGGTTGGACTAGAATGTTGGGAGCAGCCGCCACATGTCGCCGCTGACACCCCAGCGGGAAAGAACGGCCCACATCCACTGACGGTTGAGCGATGACACGGCTGCGGTTATGTCCATGGAGGCGAAGATCGGCACGCGGTTGCCCGCGTCCTCGGACTTGCTGAGCCTGCGAGCCTCGGCGCCGACAGGGACAACATTGTGCAGGAACCGGCGATCAGCGACGAATCCCTTCTGCTCGACTGCTGTGTTGGCGGCGAGCTTGGCTAACGTGAATTAACCGCGGAGGCGACAGTCTTGACGTCACTGTTTTCATGCTGGGAGTGCGCAGTGTGGCTGGGGTTTTTGTGCACTCGGCATTGCCCAGCGGCTCGTCACCCTTGGGAAGCATGGCCATCACCGCGTGGTTGAGATCGATGAAGGGACCGCACCGAGCCGAGAACCGAGAACCGTGACCGAACCGGACCGAACCGGTCCAAAACCAAAAACGTAGAAAACCGAACCGGACCGAACCGAATTCATTCAGAACCGAACCGGCGAGAACCGAACCGAACCAGAACCGGAACCGAACCGGAACCGGGCGGCCCCTGAACCGAACCGACGGGAACCGAACCGAACCCCTTTCTCCTCCGGTCCGGACCCCAGGACTCCGGGACCCCGATGACCCCCAGGACTCCGGGACCCCGATGACCCCCAGGACTCCGGGACCCCGATGACTCCCAGGACTCCGGGACGTCGACGACCCCCCCTCGCGGGTGCGACCCCCCTCGGGGCTGCGACCCCCCTCGCGGGTGCGACCCCCCTCGGAGCTGCGACCTCCCTCGCGGGTGCGACCCCCCTCGCGGGTGCGACC